CCCCCCCCCCCCCCACGTATTTTATTTAAGTCTGACTGTAGGTTTGAATTCATTGTCTACGGCCATACCACCGTGAATGTGCCCGATCTTGTCTGATCTCAGAAGCTAAACAGGGTTGGGCCTGGTTAGTACTTGGATCGGAGCTATGAATTCATCTATTTCTCCTTTCCAATTTATTAGCTTTTGAGGTATATAGTTCGAGGTTTTCTATTGGATCCAGGAAGGTTTAATTTTCTTGCAGCTTCTTGAAGAGTTGAACTTTTTATTGGTATTAAATGAACTTTACCCCTGATGGTATTCTTTGCTTGTGGATATGTTTAATATTTTTGTATGTGTGCATCTTTGGCTTTTCATTTTAAATGTTTGAGGAGGACTTTCTGGGTTACAGAACTTCAGACTTATGAAAGTTCTTGGTATCTTGCCAGAATAATCTCCAGAAAAGCTGTCCAGATTGATACTTGTGTGTTATCTACATTTTTATAAAATTTGAAGATCTGGTTTTCTAAAATTTAAGATATTGATGAGGTTTCCTGAACTATAACATTCTGTTGAGCACAGTATAGAATATATTGCCTGTTACATAATTGGTTTTCTAGAAAATTAAAATGTCATATATATTAAATTACTGGTTTAATTTATATTTTTTTGGCATAAATTAAAAAGTCACCAGTTTTTTCATGTTTCTTTATTATGTAGGTGTGAAAATAAAACAATTTTATGTTGGAGGTTCTTAAGAGGGAAAGATTTGGTTTGCTTCATCTCTCAGTGTCTGCCTCTTTGTCCTGCCTGCTGGTCTGCCTGACTTTCACTGTCACTCTCACTTTCGCTGTCACACTCTCAGGCTCTTTCTCTCTTACTGGGGATCATATCGGGGGATTACTGCTGTAACCCTTTTCTGTGTATTTTTTATGGTCCCTTTAATTAACGTCAAAGATTTTCAAAATTGCATCACTATATTTGGTTAGAATTTTTCCTTTAAATATGTGTATGGAAGGAAGTCACATACATCACCTAGATGTTCATAAAGGTGCTTTCCAAGATTAGATATCAAATAGTTGATATGGGTTTGTGACTGTTTAAGCTTTGATACTGCCAATACAGATAGCAGTGATTTTTTGTGTATTTTTGATATGTAAGGTATTCCTTAGAGAACTTTTCCACATTAACAAGAAATGCATAACAAATTTAATACTCTTTTATATTAAAAAATAATGATATAAGTGACCTGTTTGGATTTGTCTGGTAATTCTGAGCCATTCTTTTTATATAGGAGTCTTCCAGAACCTCTCATGACCTATGAGTTACATGGAGATTTCATTGTTCCAGCCAGTAAGTATTCTGAAGGTGTAGTTTTGTGCTTGCTGTGTATACAGACTACAGATTTTCATATGAAAAGTTTCTTAGTGGCGTTGTGTTCTGTTAAAAACAGAAATCACTTTAGTGGGTGGCTGATTGTTCCTTCCTTTTGGAGAATAAGACAGTGCACTTACTCACTTATTCATGAATATTAATTATCCCTTACTGTGTGAATCATTGGTATACTAGATATGTAGAACCACGACAGGATTCCTGACCCCAGGAGCCAGTTTTGTAGCAAGGGTTGGGGCATATGTGCTTCTTGTTATACTATAAAATATAGTAATTGCACGAACAGAACGCTTTCAGAACACAAAAGCATTTAACTTTTCACAAAAGCAGGAGGTTGGAGAGACTAGCTGATTTTGAGAAATTAGTGGGTTAGAGATAGTTTATAAAGACATTTGAATGGAAATTATAGACACAAAGAATATTAGAAGATGATACCAGAAGCCCAAACAATATGTCACAGAATGAATTATATCTGATAAAATGTTAAAAGCAAAAGGCCCATAATTGGTAGAATTTTAATTTGTGATTAGATTTTTATGAGTCATACTCAAGGCTTTTTTGTTTTTTGTTTTCTTTCATTATAAAGCTCATTTTTTATAATTGGCATGTACTGTTTAATCATCCGAATCCTCTGAAGTATTCTGGTGTTGGATATTCAATATTTAAGGAAATGAAGGTTGAGATATTTTAAGTAAACTACCAGGTTGTAGGGAACAGAATGTAATATCCAAAACCCTAGTTCCCCTGGCTAAAGCCACCAGTATTGGTTTGCACAGGTGCACTGATAGTAGCTGAAATCGTGTTTTAATTTCCTTTTATTTTTTTCCCCTTGGATGTGTTCCAGACCTTAATCTTTTGAAAACCTTAACGGAGTCCCTTTGGGTCCTGTGTGCCTGCTGCCTGAATGTGTCATTAAAGGTTGTCTTCATGTGAGGTCTTTCCTCCAGCCAGGATAAAGTTTTGTGTATTTTTGATATGTAAGGTAGCATTTCTTGTTATGAGGCCAGCAGTGAGTAGGCATCCTTGGAATACAGCTATGAAACAGATATTTGGAGAAGGGAAGACTGTGGTTCTGTTTAGTTTTCTTCCCACATGGATGAAAAGAGTTTTTTCCCCCTTAATGAGAATTTGTGTGATCAAGGAATCAAGAAAGTGGGGGAAAGTATTCTTGGCTAAAACTCAAGCAAATGCTTAGTTGTTTTTATTTCGTTTCTGTTGCATATTTGGCAAACGAGGGAAAGACAAATTAAACGTAATTCAAGGACAATTGTTTCATGTTGTTTGCCTTAGAGGCTGGAAAAAGCAGAGTGGTGCCAGCTTTAATTTAGAATTTTTAGAGAACTGGAGAAAGATAAAGTAGTTGTGAAATAAAGTTCTAAATGATCAAAAGTTAGTGTTGCCAATACTGTTATTCCTACAACTAAAAAAAAGTGTGTGTCACATTCTAATATCAGTGGATTTTACTTTTTTTCCCTATAGTATAATTTTAAGTCTGGGATTGTAATATCTCTGTCTTCATTTTGTTGCCCAGAATTCCTTTTGCTGTTCTTGTTTTTTTTATGATTAGACAATCTTTTATTTTATTTTACTGAGAAATATGAATGAGACAGTTTCAAAGCTTATTAAGAGGATAGTTTCAATAATCAATGCATTGTACATTGTTATCTTCTTAGTGGTTATCCATAGTAGAAGAAGCAGACAGGGTATCTTGTCCAAACACTATTAGAACACATCTTTCCTCTCATTGAATTAAACAAAAGTAGCTGTATATCCTAACTCTTTTGTATATACAAATACAAAATGTTCTTTCCTTTGTTTACTTTTTTTTTTTTTAGTCCTGTCAGAGGTGGTATTCTATTAGCATCTAAATATTTTTTTCCATAATTCTATTGAGAAACAAATAATAATAAGACAGTTTAAAAACCAAATTGGTAGAGCAGTTTCAATAATTAACACATTACATACATTCTTCCTAGTGGTTATTTGCTGTACAAGATGCAGATATGATACCTTATTTACAAATACTATGAGAACAAATCCCTCTATTCATTAAGAGAATATAACTATGTATCTATCCTAACCATTTTGAATACACAGATACAAAATGAACATTCATCTGTATCCCCTTTTTTGTTTAGTTCTGTCATTTGAATATTATAGGTGTGTTAACTCAGCAAAATATTCTAAAAGAGTCCAGTAGTTCATAATAGTTTTGTGTCTTCTGCTTCGCTGGCAACGTCAGAAATTGTTGACCTGAGTCCCCTACAGCTCAACATAATACCATGGCTTTACTTCTTATACTTTGTTTTTATACTTTTCTGATGGAAGGTTAAGACCATGGTAAAGCAGGAGCTATGCAACAAGAGTTGTAGCTGTTGGGTCTGATAAGGTCAGTGAAATCCCCTCAGGATTTATCCTGAGATCCTGTACCTCACATTGTAGAACCTTTGTCAGTGTCAGCCATATAGATGAGTCACGAGCATTGTGTGGCCAATGTGCTCTCTGTGAAAGCCTGAGAGAATGTTTTCTCTCCATGTGACTCTCCTTAGGCACACTCTACATCATGGATCACTTTCCTCTTTGGCCCCATAATGTTGATCAGAAAATTTGGGACACTACCAAGTTACGTGACATTACAGTACAAGTTCTCATATGTCTTGAGTCCTAATTGACCTTGGAAGGCTAGGGCCAAAATGATAACTTTCCTTTTGGCCCTCCTTTTTCTCTAATTTTGGTCTGCAAACTTAGGTTGTTAACCCTCCGAAGAAGTTTATTGTTACTACCATACAACCTAGGCTGTTAAGCTTAACCTCACTGTCTGAATATCAAACATCTTAGGCATAACATGGAACAGGTATTTTTCATCAAGTATTGATATGTTGAACTTTAAGTCCCTACAGAATATGATGGAAAAACATTTAAAAATTAGAATATATTTTTTAAAATAGGCATAAAGAATTATATAATTCTTATGTTTACACATAAGTCCAAAAATTTAACCATATACAACCTTGAAGCAGGACAGTCCCACAACATTCCTTTTTCTGTCTCTTGCCTTCATTCACCACCCCCTTCTTTTTGAATAGTCATCTACCCGAGAGACAGCACAGCAGCAACTGGCATGTCATGACAAGCAACCTGTATTCATAAGACCAGAATGACAGGCGCTCCAAGCATGAAACTACTACTATTACAGATTACCATCTTCAGTGCAGTTGTTTATTTCACAGGTATCAGTATATATAGTAAGTCAGGGTGAGAATCTTTCTAATTAACTGCTAGATACAAAAATCTTCTGGAGATTCTCAGAATCATTGCCTTGCTCATCTTGTACATACAACTGTATGGCTTGTCACTGTCACGTTTCCCAGCTCTTCTCCTTTTCCTCTCTTGATTAGTTAGTCCTCGAGATCCTGCTTTCCTCTTCCTTGCATTATACCTTTCTATTTGTATTTCTTATTTTGAGTTCTTATACTAGGGAAAGTACATGATATTTACACATGTGTGTCTGGTTTGTTTCACTTAGGAGTTTATCTTCATGTGGCATCCACTTCAACATAAAGCCTTTGAGTTTATCATTCTTTAGAGCTGAATAATACTCTATTGTGTAAAAATACCACATCTTTTTCAACCATTCCTCAGGTGATGGGCATCTTGGTTGTTTCCAAGATTTGGCTATCACAAATTGTGCTGCTATAAACATAGGCACACATATATCCTTATAATACAAAGTTTTCAGATCCTCCGGGAAAATTCCCAGTAGAGGAATAGCTGGTTTAAGTGGGATTTCCAGTCCAAGTTTTCTAATGAGTCTCCACACTGATTTCCATAATGGTTGCACCAGTCTACATTCCCACCAGCAGTGGAGAAGGGTTCCTTTTCCCCAACAGCCTCTCCAACATTTGTTGTTGGGTGATTTCTTCATGATAGCCATTCTTTCTGGGGTGAGATGATATCTCAGTGTTGTTTTACTTTGCATTTCATGGATGGCTAGTGATGTGGAGCATTTTTTCATATATTTATTCGCTTCTTTAATTTCATCCTTGAGAAGTGTGTGTTCATCTCAAATGCCCATTTCTGGACTGGTCTTTAAATTTTGGGGCCCTAGTGTTTTTTTAGTTCTTTATAAGTTCTAGAGAGCAGACCTTTGTCTGACTACTTATTTGCCATAATTTTTTCCAAATTTGTGGGTTGTCTTTTCACTGTGTTGGTAATTTTTTTTGACGGGAAAAAACTTCTCAGTAAGAGCAGGTCTCAGTTCATTTTTCAACTATTTCCCGTGCAATTTGATTTCTGTTCATGAAGTCTTTGCCTACCCCTATGTCTTCAAGAGTTCCTCCTACTTTCTTTTCCAGGACATTTAGTGTCTTTGCTTTAATATTTAGATCTTCAATGCATTTTGATGTCAGTTTAGTGCATGATGATCGACCTGGGTCAAGTTTCAGTTTTTGGCATGTAGAGAGCCAGTTTTTCCAGCAGCATTTGTTATAGAGGCTACTTCTCTTCAAGTGAGTATGTTTGGCCCCTTTATCAAAGATAAGGTGGCTCAGTGTGTTGGTAAGGGCTTCAGTGTCTTTTAATCTATTCCATTGATCCTCAGGTCTATTTTGTTGCCAGTACCATGCTGACTGTATCACTGTTGTCTTGGGAGTATAATTTCAAGTCAGGAATTGTAATGCCTCCTGCCTTGTTCAAGATTGCCTTTGCTCTTCTGGGTCTTTTCTGGTTCCAAATAAATTTTAAGAATGATTTCTCTAGCTTTGTG